GTAGCTGTAGTAGTCGTAGTAGTAGTAGTAGTAGTAGTAGTAGTAGTAGTAGTTGTTGTTGTTGTTGTTGCTGTTGTTGTTGGTGATGTCGTTGTTGTTGTTGTTGTTGTTGCTGTTGCTGCTGTTGTTGCGATAGTTGCTCTTGTTGTTGCTGTTGTTGGTGGTGGCGGTGTTGTTGTTGTTATTGCTGTTGCTGTTGCTGTTGCTGTTGCGGTTGCGGTTGCGGTTGCGGTTGCGGTTGCGGTTGCGGTTGCTGTTGCTGTTGATGTTGATGTTGTTGCTGGTGTTGTTGTTGTTGCAGCTGTAGCTATAGTAGTAGTTGTTGTTGTTGTTGTTGTTGTTGCTGTTGTTGTTGTGGGTGGTGGTGGTGGTGGTGGTGGTGGTGGTGGTGGTGGTGGTGGTGGTGGTGGTGGTGGCGGTGGTGGTGGTGTTTGTGTATGTCCTTGTTAGTTTTTATTGCTGTTGTTGTCGTCGTCGCGGGAGTCTTCATCGTCGTCGTCGTTGTCGTCGACGTCGTCGTCGTCGTCGTGGTCGTGATTGTTGTTGATGATGATCTTGTTGAAGCAGTTGCTGCTGTTGCTGTTGCTGTTGCTGTGGTTGCTGTTGTCGTTGTTGGTTGTTGTTGTTGTTGTTGTTGCCGTCGTCGCCGTCGTCGTCGTGGTTGTGGATGTGGTTGTGGTTGTGGTTGTGGTAGTGGTAGCGGTAGTGGTGGTGGTTACTGTCATTGTTGTGGTTGTTGGTTGTTGTTGTCGTCGTCGTTGTTATTGTTGCGTCGTCGCCGTCGTCGTTGTCGTCGTCGTCGTTGTCGACGTCGTCGCGGTCGCGGTTGTTGTTGTTGCTGTTGCTGATGATGTTGTTGGTGTTGTCTTTGTCGTTGCCGTCGTTGTGGTTGTTGTTGTTGTTGCTGGTTGTGGTGGTGATGGTGGTGGTGATGGTGGTGGTGATGGTGGTGTTGTTCTTGTCGTTGGTGTTGGTGTTGTGGGTTGATGTTGTCGTTGCTGTTGGTGTTGTGGGTTGGCATTGTCGTGGTCGTTGTCGTTTGTGTCGGTTTTGGTGATGTTGTCGTTGTCGTTGTCTCGTTGTCGTTGTCATTGTCGTTGTCGTTGTCGTTGCTGTTGCTGTTGCTGTGTTGGTGGTGGTGCTGCTGCTGCCGGTGCTGTTGCTTAATGGTTGTTGGCTGTTGGTTGTCGTTTCACCTTGTCGGTTGTGGGTTATGGGTTGTGGATTGTTGTGGATTGTTGTGGGTTGTTGTGGGTTGTTGTTTGTGGGTTGGGGTTGTTGGCGGATGGCTATGTGTTTGTTGCTTGTTGCGTGTTGCTTGGTGCGTGTTGCGAGTTGCTTGTTGCTTGTTGGTTGTTGTTGTTGGTTGTGGGTTGTTGCTGGTTGTTGTAGTTGTGGCTGTGGTTGTGGTTGTGGTTGCTGTTGCCGGTGTTTGCAAGATCGTGATCGTTTTGCTGACCCTAAACCCTAAACCCTAAACCCTCAGGGTGGAGTGCTGCAGGAACAGGAGGGACGTCCAGTCCCAAGTACCCTGAAACCGTCAACACGCAGCGCTACACCAATGGAGACCTTCTAGAACCCCACATCCTATAAAACCCTCGGAACTAAACCCTAAACCTTAAAAAGCCTTAAACCCTAAACCCCAAACCCTAAAGCCGAAAACCCTAGGTCAGAAAGCTGAACACACCAGAACCCTATATCATCATGGCCTCCTCCGACGATGCCGGCCGCGCCGGCTGCGCCGCAGCGTGCTGCGCGTCGTAGCGTCGACACCATGCCTGGCAGGACGGCCCTGTTTAGAGGCTTCTGGCGTGCCGTATAGTGTGGTCTTTCAAGGGCTACAGGGCTTGTGAAGTGTTATACAGTGCGGCACCGGTCGAATGATTTAAAGGGCTTCATATACCTTGGTAACGGTTTGCAAAAAATCCTACAAAGTTGAAACATGGATGCAGCATAGTTGGTGTTGCAAGTTTATACAGGTAGTTTAGTTCCAGGGCATGAAGCGAAAGATCTTCCAAAATTCTGGCTTCTACTTTATGGCTAAGGCTTTGGGGTCTGCTTTGTACTTTGTAGATTCTGCTTGGGATGGTTAGTAGGAAAAATGCTGTTTCCACGGCGGTCTTAGGTGGCGGAGAGCTCTTTCTTCGGCGCGGCTCGGCCTCCCTAAACCCTAAACACTAAACCCTAAACCCTAAATCTCTGGCTTGGCTTGGCTTGGCTTCTTTTGGCCTCGCATGGCCCTTTCTTCCTTCGGTGCGGCTCGGGTTTTTGGTGCGGCCTGGCTTGGCTTGCCTTGGTTTGGCAACCCCTAAACCCTAAAGCCTAAACTTAGGGTTTAGGGTTTAGGGTTTAGGGCCCTAAACCCCAAAACCCCTAAACCCTAAACCCTAAACCCTGAACCCAATTTTCGCTCTCTCTCGGCTTTTGGCTTGGCTTGGTGTGGCCTGGCTTTGGCAGTTTTCCTTGCCCTGGCGTGGCCGGGCTCGGCTTGGCATTGTGGAAGCATCATAGAGACACAGACAGCGACTTATATAGACACTGACGGTACCAGTGTAAATATGTACAGATGTAGATATGTGCACATGTACGCATGTCAAAGCCGCACTGCGGCTTGGCCTTCGTGCGCCATAGACATAAGTGGATTTACTCATTAATCAATACATATGTAAAGTCCATGTCTATGTCTCTGCCCAAAGCCAAAGCCAAGCCGAAAGATTGCTTGTAGATCCTTGACAGAAACCACTAACACCCTGAAGCCCGAGAGAACCCAAACGTCCATGCGAGGCCAAACCAAGGCAAGCCACGCGACAAGCCGAGCCGAACAGCAAGCCAAGTCAAGCTGCACGAAAGCTGAGCCGCACCTAGAAGAGAACAACAACTTAGACTATTGCATTTTCGGAGTCTTAAAGTCTGAGGTGCAGTGATACGAGATACCAGGCTCCATACGCCCTGCCAGGAACCTGCAGCAAAGTTGTTCCGTGCAGTGGGCCTGAAACCTTCATCTGAAACTGTAATACAGGCCTGGATGCTGAGACCAGGCTTTGTCTTGAACCCTAAAACCTAAGCCCTAAACCCTAAACCCCAAACCCCTAAACCCTAAACCCTCCTAAACCCTAAACCCTAAACCCTAAACCCTCCTAAACCCTAAACCCTAAACCGGGGCATGACGAACCTCTGGAACCCGAAACCTGACTCACACGCACAACTTCAAGAATAGAGCACAAGCAGCAACATTTAGGGTTTAGGGTTTAGGATTTAGGGGTAACCTACACATGACGCAAGCCTCGTAATGCTGGTCGCGCTGCTCTCGGCTCGGCCTCTTCATGGAACGGAGCTTCTATGTCTTCGAGTCTTCGGGGGTAAGCGGCTCAGTTTGATTTGGAGTTTCATGTAGGAAAATGGCTCAGAAACCCTGGCCCTATAACCCAAACTAATTGGATTCAAGAAGAGGAGCCTGGTAAGGACCATGGGTTTCTTGCTTCGGAGCATAGTCTCTTGGTTTAGGGTTTAGGGTTTAGGGCTTAGGGTTTAGGGTTTAGGGAGCTTAGTCTCTTGGTGCTTGGGGTTTCCAGCACGTTGTTTAGGGTGTAGGGTTTATGGGCGTTCCGAAATTGGAACCGCTGTTGTTCCTCTTGCGTGCGAGTGTACGTGTGTGCGTGTGTGCGAGGGAGAGAGGGTGGGGCGGAGTAGTTTGTTGGTAATGGCTGCTAAACCCTAAACCCAAAACCCCTAAACCGTAAACCCTAAACCAGGCTTAAAGCATTTTGCATCAACGGCCTCAAGATTCCATCGGGTTTCTGGTTCACAGAGTTTTGGGTAGTTCCCTGAATTCGGCTCCCTCTTTAGGCCCCAAGATTGTATGGTATCCTCATAAAATGTGACCCTAAAAGCGACCCTGATTTAGAGAAATCCCCGCTTTGAGCGTGGGTTTCAAGTTTCGTCTGGGACTGATTTGTCTTCAGGTCTTACGGCATAAAATGTTTGCTGTCACTGGCAAGGGTTTGGGGTTCAGGTTTTTTAACTGAAGCGATCTGGCTCTTGAACCATACTCCGGAGTTGATCGTGTCTGCCATGTTCACTCCACCTGTCTCTGTAGTCAAGAGTTTGGAGTTATAGGGTTCACGGTCTTGGTCACCCTAAACCCTGCACCCTGAAGTTGCCCCTAAACCCTAAACCCTAAACCCCTATAAAGTTCATTGCCCAAGGCCACAAAGCGGTTTAAGGCTCAGGGTATACCTATAAATGCTGCCATAAAACCAAAATTATTCGAGCCACAAATCCCTCGCACTAACTTAGCAGGAAACCTTGTGTTTTTTCACACCGTAAACCTAAACCCTACAAGTAGCAGAATATTAGGAGATGTTTTGGTCAAGGACCCTAAACCCAAAGCCCTACATGCTTAACCAATCACAGCGGTCAGGCCGGCAGACCCTCGCCGCAGCCTTTGCCGCTCTTTTGAAGCAGCCAGGAGACGACTTTGTTCTGCCTCGATTCCATAGTGAGTTCAGGATTGAAGGCGTTAGGGGTTTAGGGTGTTGTGCTTTTGGGGTTTAGGCTTCAGGGCTTTAGGGTTTAGGGGTTTAGGGATAAGGGGCGAGGGGATTAGGGGTTTAAGGTTTAAGGATTTAGCGTTTAAGGTTTTAGGTTTCAGAAACCTGAGGGTCCTCAGTACCGACCAAGTTCAAAATAGGGTTTCTATACCAGGAGTTATCGTAGCCAGGAATTATCATGATGGTTTGTGTACCTATCCTCCATACATTAGAAATGTAGGCAGCTAGGACCAAGTGGTAACTTAGGTCCAAATGCTGGACCCTACATGTTACGGTCCGAAGTACAAACATATCCACAAGCGATACCTTATTTCATGGCTTGGAAGGTCTATGCCCGAGCCGCTGCATTCCTTTATCTAGCTAACCTCAAATCTCCCCCTTTCAAAGACAGAGAATCGTTAGATCCTACGTGTGATACCCTTAACTAAATGGTTGTCGCAGAACAATCGCTGCAACTACCTGGAATGCATCATGCTGACGTGTCCACGCCCTTGCAATTTGCAAGACGACCCCATCCGTGAAACGTCGATACTGGCGGATCGTACTGGGAGATGTTGAACGAAAGTCGGATGAGTAAGCCCGCAAACCTTTGGCAGTTTTAATCTTCCGGCAGAATGGAGCCTTGGATCCTGAAGATAGGCATTCGGTCTGAAAGTTGCGAAGCCTGGGATCCTGATCGTCCTGCACCACTCCATGTTGACCCTAACATATATGTAGGAAACGCGGCAAAGCCAAAGACGAAACTTTTTGGGAGCTGCTTGGTTGCATGTAGGACTCGTCTCCCCTTTGCAAGGGTCGTGCTGCTTTGTGGCCGGTGTCTTCACGAGCTGGAATGTAAGAATGCCAATGTTTCGCGAAGTTGGTGCATGGCGGTGCAAGTTCGAAATACACAAGCACACTATAAACTTCCATACGTTTCACAAGGATATATTACCCAGAACGGCGACCTGCACTGTCACTACCAAACTGTCCAGTGCGAGCAAATGCAAGGCCCTGGCCAGAAGCAGCTTCGGGTTTAGGGAGTAAGTTTACCTTTCCAATGGCCATGAAGGAAGGTTCCTTAGTTCGGGGGCAGATTGGCAGCTCCCCAGCAACAGCCGGAGATTGGATGTGCAGCCTTGCATCCGCCATTGAACGTGATATTGCTCATGTTGGTCGGCACCTTCGACCGTCGTTTTGCCCCCCGCCTCAACCCGGTGCTACAATCAGGAGGGCCCAAGTCCGGCATGATTATCAGCATCCTTTGAGAGCCATAGGGTTTAGGGCTTTATAGGTTTAGGCCGATATCGTCAATGATCACCGAGTCGGTTGCCTACAACCATTTCTTTCAACGGGATTTGCTGTGGAGATGAAGCTTCAGGATAGCCGCGGGCTGCAAAATCCCTTGCCAAAAGAGTTTAGCTTAAGGTCTTATTTGGTGTTGTGAGGATTTTATAGGGAGTATTTCTCAAAACATATGAAGGATCCTGCTGAAACCTATTTACGTGTCTCTGGATAAACTAAGCTCTTATCTAGGAGTAATCGAAAAAACAATGTCAGTCGCCATATTCATATCTGATGACTTGGAAAACGCCTGAAAGCGGGTCCGGAAGATATGCCTAAACCCTAGCCACTCAACCCCAAGAACTCCCGAGCGCCCAGCTTGAAATCCTAAGCCTCGGCTAGCGATCTAAAGTTCAAGTACGTAAAATTGAAGAGGCCACCATAATTGCGACGGGGCTTTGGGGATATTCCAAAACGAAAGTCAAGGAATAACGGTGCCACCAAATTTTCAGGCTTCCATGCCAGTCCCCAACGGCAGCAGCCAGCAACACACGAACACACACATACTTGGACACCCCTCTCGGGAGTGGCTAGCGTTTTGTTACAACCTATATTGGGTTTCTTGGCTTAACCCCGCGCGATGCACTGCGAAAAACAACATGCAGGCACACCTCGAGACGTCTCTGAAGGCTTCCCCTCCCGTTGCGTAGCTTCGTTGGACCCTAAACCCTGAAAACTAAACCCTAAACCCTGAACCCTAAACCCCAAACCCTGAACCCTAAACCCTAAACCCTAAGCCCTAAACCCCAAACCCTAAACCCTTCGTTTGCAACTGGAGGTCCTGGCCTCTGGTCCCCCTGCACCTATCCCTTTGTTATCACAGTGTTTAAGGGTTTACGGTTTAAGGTTTAAGGTTTAGGGTTTAGGGTTTAGGGTTTAAGGTTTAGTGCCACAGTGTCGCGCACACACACACACACACACCAGTTAAGACTGAGAAGTTCCCAAACTCTCTACAAAGTCCCAGTGCACCAAACCATCTGCAGCCACGACACGGTCTGCTGAAGCCGTACACAGTTCAGTGCAGAAACCCATAACCCTAAACCCTAAACCCTAAACCCTGAACCTTAAACCCTAAACCCTAAACCCTACACCCTAAACCCATAACAGCGAATCCTGGAACCTACACTCCGAAGTCCCAAGCATAGCTATAGATCTCAAAACTCCTTCAAACCACAAACCTTTATAGTCCCTAAACCCT